CAGAAGGTGGCTTCCTTAAGGGTGTCACGAATAACACTAGAGGGAAAAGGCACAAGGGCCTCCCTTAGGTGGAGCCTCTTTAAGGACCGAGAATTTCGTCTCCAAGTCGTGAAAGGTCTCGTCATGAATTTTTAGGTTAAGGTCGTTACAAAGAGTCATGGGTGATCTTCCAAAGTCCTACTCGTCAAGTGGATATCTCTCGATAAATATTCCTTTTTCAGAAGTTCACCAACTCTAGGCAAAGTCATCACATAAACTCACAGGGATGATGTATCCCTTAAGCTAATAGACGAACATTCTTTCTAAGGGTTATTGAAGATATTTTGAGAAAATAAAAAAAATCCCACCACGCTGTATATATGATGATAAAAAAAATTGACAATAAATAAATGCAATAAATAAATAATATAATAAATAAATAGTGCAATAAATAAATAAAAACCCCCAAAGTAAAAACCCTAAAACCTAAAGTTGAAGTCCCTAGCAGAGTTGCCAGCTGTTGCGACTTATTTTTTAATCAGAGTCGCCACTATTAGTTTTTATTCTAGGGAAGGGAATCTAACAGAAAACCCTAATTCACAGACAGAGATTCTAGGTTTCGTACTTCTTTAGACGAAAGGAAGGTGTTAGGCACCTTTCATCTACCTTGTTAACAAGGATATTAGGTTTTCGGGTTAGGTTTGGGTAAAATAGGGGTTTTAAGTTTTAATAGGGGAAAGAGTTTTAATTTTTTATAAGGGAACTCGCTACGATTTTTGATCGTATGCCTACGTATCCTCTTAAGAGGAATCAGAGTCCCAATTCGTAGTTCGTATGGTTTTGTGGTTTTAGGTGTTGCAAGCGTACTTTGAATCACCTCGTATTTTGGCCGGGAGTAGTGATTGCGGAGATTTTGGCTAAATGCGTAGTAAGTCAAAATCTGCTTGAAACCCTTTTTCAAAAATAGTTGTTTAGATTATTTGTTTGCGAAAAAAAGTTTGATATTTGTTGAGTGTTTTTTTATAGATTTTAATTGCAAAGATTCTTGTTAATGCATGCTATAAAAAATATTTCATGCAAATAATATAAAGAAAAATATGCAATTTTTGATATAAAATAATTTAAATGATATAATAAATAATATTCACAAAAATTAATAATAATAATAATAATAAATAATAATTGCCAAATGGAAAAAATAAAAGAATAAAAACAATTTATGAACAAGGGGGTGTATCCTCTGGTTGTTAAGCCCTAGAGAAATTTTGGAAAAATGGATGTTCTGAAAGGGGCAGAAGTTCTGCAGGGGATGTAGGGAAATTGACTGGGTTTTGGCCCAGTCGCAGAACTTATGAAGGAGATGCTGTAAGCTAGTTAGCAAAATCAGAAAATAGGGATGTAAAATTATGGGCTAAGCCCACTACTCAGAGTTTCTGGAAAAAGGGCAGACAGAAAGTATATAAACCTAATGTTGATTCTGGACAAGGAATAAAATTTGAAACATGGGTTAAGCCTAGTCAGAACTTCTAAACATGAACTACATCTGAACGTAAGCAAATAGCGTGAACATGCAATCAAAATATAAGACTATCTACATATCTTTTCTATGGTTTTAACCCTGCCTATGTTCTCCTGACCCTACCCAGCATGAAAACAGTAGAGAAAAAGATTAAAATTTACCCCTTTGGCGCTTTTTCCTTCTGATTCTGGTGCGTGCTTGGCTGTCCTTTCCTTCTCCTTCTGCAGATTCTGGTGACAGTAGTGACAAAAGGTGGAGCGATGGCGATTGAAATTAGGGTTCCAGATATTGGAACCTCAGTTATTCTCTTGCGTGTTCTTCTTTTGGGTTTTCCAGAAATTCTACCCTTGCTCTTTCTTCAAGCGTTATTGTGTTGCTTTTCTCTGCAAATTTGTCTCTCTCCTGGTATTCTTTTCTCCTTTTTTCTACTTTTTTTCTCCTCCCTTTTTCCTTTTTTTGCTAATTTTCTCCTCCATTTATAATGTTCAATTTTGTGCTTGGACTATGGTTAGAACAAAGATTGAAGATGAAATTAAAAAGATTTGATTGGAATTGATTCTCTGTGGAAGATTTGATTGAAATTGATACAGCACACATCCAACAGTTTTGGGCTTGGGTTGCTTAGCCTCTAAAACTCTGAGCTTGGGCTGTGGAAGATAATCTGATTCTACCTTTGCTTGACTCTTCTAGAAAATCTGATATTCCAATTTTGTACTAGCTTGTGTGTGATTCTGGCTCTGTTCTGCACAACTTTTTGCATTTGCTTCTGTAAGGAAGAAATTCTTGGATTCCTGTCTCAGAAGTTCTGATGGGTCAGTGCTTGATCCATACAATCTAGCGTTTCTTCATTTGCATTCATAACTTCTCTCTTAATTCAATTAGGCACAACGTTAATTCTTCCCATTTCTTTTGCGTACTCCCGGATTTAATTTTCACCCTCCCTTTTTTAATAACAACTAAATCTTCTTGTTTTAAAATACACCCCTGCGATCTGAAATAAAGATAGTCCATTAGATATTGTTGTACCATCTTTAATTAAATAACTCTAAGAAAAGGATCGCCAAGGTAGGACAAATTTGGGGTATGACACGAGTCTTGAATATCTGTCAATTTTGAAATATAAACGTTAAATTAACAATTTCCTAGAAATGGACAAACATTTCGGAATAAGGTTTGTTAAATAAAATATGTACAACATCAATGATGACGAACTTTGTATAATTTGTACAAGAATTCATAGAAGAAGTTGTTGATTGTGCCGGTTGAGGACCGCACAAGTAGAGAGGTTCATTTTCTGCCATACCGAAAATTACAGGGTTGGCAAAATTTCTGGTAAACCGAAAATTTCAAATTTTGGATAATTTTAAAAGTACCGGAATTTTGGGAAAAATCTAGTAAAATTTTCGAAAACTTGGAGATTGGGACCGCAAATTCTAAATTTGCGGTGAATCACTTCAGGAAATTTCTGAAATCAACAAGATTTCCAATATTTTTCCTAAGGGGATACTAGAAATTCCAAAATGTGTACCAAAAGTTTTGTTTTTCGGAAATTTCCAAATGACTTTTTTTTTCACAAAACATTGTTTTTGGGGTATTAGTAGCAAGGGTAATATGGTCAATACAAAAATATAGGGGATGTCGGGATTAATACATGGGTTTACATGTTAAATTCTTTAATTTCTAATATGTGATTCAATCTTGTAATGGAAATGGAAGCTGCAAAAATTAGATAGTGTCATTGTCATCTAGTATTGTAGGCCTTTGGTATTATCATTTTACTCTTTTATTTTAAAAAATATACAATGGCAAGTGAAAATATGCAGAAATCATAAGGACTTTGTGATCCAATGGATAAGGCGCTGGTCTATGGAACCAGAGATTCTGGATTTGATCTCTAGCAGAGTCGTGTTTCACCTGTCATTAACTTTGGCTCAAATTATTTTATATTGTCAGTGTATATCTCTTTTTCTTAATATATATTTTATTTTAGTAAAATATTCAATTTTTTTTACTTAAATCTTAAATTATTTTACCAATTATTAGGCTTACTTTCGGATATTTTTACTTCATTAAATTTATAAATAAAAATCATTCTTTTAGTAAGTTTTAGATAACTAATTGTTTATTCAATTTAAAAGGTAAAAAAGAAAAGTAAAAAAACCATTTATATTTCCAATCTGTTAGCCTTTGTTCGTATACAATGATAAATGAAAAGTGAAGACAACTTACAAACTTTATGGTCCAATGTATAAGGTAATGGTCTACTGAACTAGAGATCCTTGATATGATATTGATTTTTTTCTAAGATTTGGAAGCATAAAGAGACTCGGCAAAACCATGTTATGTCAATTATGACATTGTTCACTTCAAACTTACTTCAACCTAAAGCAAACTAACATTCTCCATTTCATTTGGACACCACTGTGTGCCTTCCCTTTCGATCATCATGACATCCTTCCTTATTAGTTGGCCATACATGATGAACATAATAATGATCAACAACACACGAATCCCACTCCAAAACAACAACAAAACACCTTTTCTCAAGCCATTTCTAACATGTATAATATTTTGGTGTCCTAGCTACTACAACACTGTATCAAAATAATAATGGTTTGACCTAAGGGCTCTACGCCATTAACTGTTGTTGCCTTGAAGAACAAGTTAATGCCGATTTGGAAAGATTTGTCAAGATGGGGGTATCACATCACTAGGAAGAAGGCTCTATGAATTCTCTTTCTTTTTTCTAGAAGATGTTCAAAGGGTAAGATCAGTTGCTTCATGGAATATGGATCCTGGCTATTAAAGTTTTTGATAGGATGCTAATTCAAAAAATCTAACAAAACTAATAAGACAATAAAATCATCTAAGAAAATAAGGATAAAAGATAACTTTTGATTTCATTGATTGATTCCTAATGCCTAAATGATATTACATTATATAATAATTCTAATGGATACTAAATTAAAAGGCCCAAATATTAATAAGAGCCTACTAAATAACAATACATAAAATATCAATATAAATTCTTAATTAACCGGAATAATATAATTATACTATCTATCATTGTCCTCAGATTCACTTAAACCTTGTCCTCAAGATTCTAAAATTATTAATAATAAAAATACTAATGAGGCCAAAATAACTTTCAAATAATATCAAATAACCATTGTGTTGATGCTTTTATTTTATAAAAAGGCATTTTTCCCTTGTGATATACCATATTGATGAGTCCACCTTGTATAGTGAAAATTGTTTTCAACAAAATTGAGATTCCATTAACGTTCCTGGATCAGATGGTTTTGGAGGCGGCGACAGTAGTGCCAATAATGATGAAACTTTGTTCGGTGAAACTGGATATAGTGTTTGCAGCAAATAAGGTTTGTATGATGGCTTCAATAGTAGATTTGACGGTTTTGACGATGGAGACAGTATATCTGGTGGTTTTTACGATGGTCGTTGTGATTTTGAAGATTTATCTGTTGACCATAAAAGTGAGCTTATGAACTCTGACAGAGCAAAGGATGTTTACTTTTGTGTGTTTTGTACTGACATCAGACTTATCATTAGAGTTGTTGCTAGAAAAGTCATCGGAAGTGACGTAAAATTTGTCGCTAGAAATGTTGTCGGAGCTTTCGTCGGAAATATCACTAGAGATGTCTTCGATTGTGACGTAAGAGGTATCACCAGGAATGGCGTCGGTGATTCTGTCAGAGTTACCATCAGAGACTACTTTAGTGAATCTGGAAGTTTTTCTTCTTCCTGTTGTTTTTGTTCTGATTTTAATTCAACAATACATTTTTGAAGCTTTTCTTTGCATTTTCTTTGGGCATTAGAAAACTCTTGTGATCAAGCTTTGAGAGAATAACGCAAAGCTTGGATTTTTTCTTTCCACTCTTTAGATTTTTTTTAGATTTCATGAGTTTCGGTTAAATATTGTTTTAAAGTTTCTAACTGGTGAAGTGTTTCTGGTGTGAAAAGAAATTTTGAGGTGGAGGTTGGTAGTTAGGGTAGTTTGAATATGCATAGAATACGGAGGATGATTATTGAGGTGGAGTAGAAACTATGTGTTGTTGTTGGTGTGGAGTGAAGGTTGAAAATGGAGGATTTGAGAATGAATAGTAACATGAAGGATATGGGTTTACGGATGATGGAGCAGAAATGATTGTTGTAGTGGAATAATAAGAGTGAGTGAACATAAGAGAAAATGGATGATTGTAGTAAGAATATGTCATGGAAGGGAGATTGAGTGCATTAATCAAAACACCAATTGATAGGATGCTAATTCAAAAATCCTAACAAAACTAATAAAAATTCTAAAAATTAATTAGACAATAAAATTATCCAAGAAAATAAGGATAAAAGATAATTTTTAATTTCATTGATTGATTTCTAATGTCTCAATGATATTACATTATATAACACATCTAATGGATAATAAACTAAAATGCTCAAATATTAATAAGAGTCCACTAAATAACAATACGTAAAATATCAATATAAATTCTAAATAAAATAAAATAAAATAATTCTATTATCTATCACTTTTTGCATGGACAAGGGAATTCAATCCAAATTTTCAAAAGAAAACGAGTGCAAATGTTTGGGTTCATTTATATGGGTTGGCATAGAAGTATTGGAGGTAAGAGATCATTTTTACTGAGTTTAGTCCAAGACATAACATTAGACTTATCCCAATACTCCAAATGACTTGTGATTTCAGCATTGTTGGGCTTGCAACCATTCATCCCACTAATATAGTCGAATAAAGTCACTAGTATGTTCCCTCCTTTTCTAAACAACTTTTATTTCTACCTCAGTTAATACATAGGAGGCATCAATTTCTTGATAGGATCCTCATCCTCTCCGACTTTCCATGAAAATAAAGCATCTAAAGAATCACTAGAAGAAGCTCTTTCAAAAAAATATTCCTTAGACATTCATTCCATTTCAGAATCATCAATAAGAGAGATGATCTCCGATTTAAAATCCCCACTGGAAGAAGAAAGTGAATGCGATTCAAAATCCCTTCCCCTTTTCGTAGAGGAAGAAGTGCTACCTTTAGAATCACTATATATGCTAATAGGGTTAATACTCGTTTTAACAGGAGACAAAAATTGCTTGAAGTAAAAAAGCTTGAGTTGGAAGAAGGTACCTTGAAGTGTAAGGTCAAAATAAGTGAAACGAATGAGAAGGCTGAAGGTTGATGCTTTGAAGCTTTTAATGCATGACTATGATTACTCCAAGAAAAATGCTCTCAAAGAAGAGGGAAATACTCAAAGGAAATAAGGGAAATTTAATCTAATAGGTTTAAAAATTACCCCAAATTTCCTCAACCCTTTAATAGGAGAAGGCAATCGGATGGATCAAATTGAAAATAAGAAGAAAGTGCAAACCACATGTCAGATTTCACCTTGGAAACACAATCAAACTCAATTGCACTCAAGTGTATCATATACAGTGTCCCATGAAACAATCGGCTAAACAAATCATCAAGATGAATTCAATGAAGTCGCCATCGAATGTTTTTTATCCCACAGGAAGGGAAAGGTAAACATCGAGTAGACCTAAGAAGGGTGAAATCATGGTCAAACGACCGAGAGATCGGGTAAGGGAGTCTGTTACGCGAGGGGAAGGTATTAGCATCCCCCACACGCCCGTAGTACTCTATGGTATCCACTCTTGTTCTTCTAATCTAATGGGTGTGGTCAAAGTTTATGTCTAAGGTTTAAATTTAAAAGAAAGAGGGAATGCATGCAAAAGAAAAGGAAAAGAAAGTGTGAGGAAAAGAGATAGATTTTTACAAAGATATGCTTGATTAGGCCCCACAAAGAGCCTCCGCCTACGTATCCCTTTTAAGGAATCATAGATGACATAGTTTGACTCACTTGTTTTGGTGGGTGTTGTATCCCAAAATTTTCCCTCCCATTTTACTCAAGACATATTCATTAAGGTCTTCAATTGCTCAAGATTGACCAAGAATTGATCAGACAAATTCTCCTCCTAAGCAATGACCTTTCAACTAGGGTTTCACTTTTCACAAATATATGTAAGCTCAAAAGGTCTAAAGTTTTTTCCATGGTCCTAATATGTCTTCAAGATTGTCCATGCCAAATTTCATGCCTTACACTACAAGTTTGCTCAATCAACTGCTCAAGTGTTTGAAAATCAACTATACTAGGTCAAAAGTTAACTATGGCCAATATACAATCAGAATTTAATATTTTTGGTCAACATCAAAATTTTGAATTGATATCCATAATTTGATCAATGGTTTATCATGATTACTCAAGAAATGCTCTTACTTTATCAAAATTCAAGAATTGCTAAATTAGGGTTTCTATATGAAAGGTCAACTGAACTTTGACCAGGAATAACTTTCACATTCTTCATCCATTTTCCCCCAACCAAAGATCATTTTAAAGAGAATCCAATTCCCTACAACTTCTCTTTTATCCTCAAGCTCAATAAATGCATCATTTGGAAGATATGAGCTGATACATTACAAGTCATTTTCAAAAAGTCAACAAAAGACGCTTTTTGTCAAGACAACTGATCGGGACTTTATAAGTCTGTCGGGATACTAACTGCAAGTATACAGTTCAGTCGTTCTAGTTTTAAAAGATTATCGAACCCACAGAGACTGAGGATCAATCACATACGATCTAATGCTACAATTTTGTTTAACTAAGCGATGAATATTCGATTTTTTGGGGGAAATAGTTTGATTAAAATAATGGTAATAGATATACCGGTATGTGATAGTCGGACTTCGCGAATTCGGTGAATCGCTTGGCCTATAAAGTATTTCGGTAAAAACTAATTGTTTAAAAACATGAGACTGCGCCTACAGCATAATTGCTCGCATCACACATTATTTCAAATGGTAGGTTCCAATCAGGAGGTCGCATAATAGGTGTTGAAATTAAAGCTTCTTTAAGCGTCTCAAATGCGTTCAAGCATTTATCGTCGAAAATAAACTCAGCCTCTTTCATTAATAATTCAGTTAGTGGCTTGGTGATTTTAGAGAAATCTTTTATAAAACGTCGGTAAAAACCAGCGTGTCCTAGGAAACTTCTTATTTCTCTAACGGTTTTGGGTGGTTGAAGGTTTTTGATAATTTCGATTTTTGCTTTGTCGACTTCAATCCCTCTGTTTGATACAATGTGACCCAACACAATTCCTTGTCTCACCATGAAGTGACATTTTTCCCAGTTGAGCACTAGGTTAACATTGATACAGTGTTTCAGTACTAATTCAAGATTTGATAAACATCCGTCAAAACTTTCTCCACAGACAGAGAAATCGTCCATGAATACTTCCATAATTTCGTCTAAAAAGTCTGCGAAAATCGCCATCATGCATCGTTGGAAAGTTGCAGGTGCGTTACATAGTCCAAATGGCATTCTTCGGTATGCAAAGGTACCACAGGGACATGTGAACGTGGGAATGTTTGGCTAAGCGCTCGAGCATTTGATCAATGAACGGTAACAGGAAATGGTCCTTGCGCGTAGCTTTGTTTAGTTTTCTATAATCGATACACATTCTCCATCCTGTTTGGGTACGTTGTGCTACCGATTCGCCTTTTGTGTTCGTTATGACCATAACGCCTCCTTTCTTAGGCACCACGTGAACTAGATTGACCCAGTTGCTATCTGATATTGGGTATATGATGTCTGCCTCTAGTAGTTTCTGCACTTCTTTCTTAACGACTTCACTTAGGATAGGATTTATTCGTCTTTGATGTTCTCTAGAATTCTTGCAGTCCTCCTCTAGCATAATGCGGTGCATACAGAGAGAAGGGCTTATTCCTTTTAGATCTGATATATTATAGCCTAACGCGGTTGGATACTTCCTTAACACACTAAGAAGTTTTTCGGTTTTGATCTTCCCTAATTTGGCATTAACTATAACTGGCCGTTCGAGTTCTTTATCTAAAAATTCATACCTAAGATCTGCAGGTAATGTTTTAAGTTCTATACCAGTTTTCTTATCAGTTGGGGCAGGATCGGGTGTTAAGGCTAAACATTCGCTTAGGTCGGCATCTAAATGTTCTTGTTTCCAGTCGTCGTCCTTGAGGATAGTTGGTGTCTGAATTTTCAGCATCTCAGAATAGGTGTCTTCTTGGCTTTCAAGTTCTTTGACACATTCATCAATAATATCTAGGATACATCATGAGTCATCTATAGCAGGGGCTTTAAAGAATTGGGAAAGAATGAATTATACTTTTTCTTCTCCTACCTCGAAGGTAAGCTTTCCTTTCTTAACGTCAATGATGACTCCTGCAGTAGCTAAAAATGGTCTTCCTAGTATGATGGGAATGTTTGAATCTTCATTGATGTCCATTATTATAAAATCAGTCGGTATGTAAAATTGTCCTATTCGGACAGGAATGTTTTCTAGCATACCAACAGGGAATTTGACTGATCTGTCGGCTAGTTGTAGGGACATCTTGGTAGGTCTCATGTCGCCTAATTTGAGCTTCTCGCAAATAGATAAGGGCATTAGACTAACACTGGCTCCTAAATCGCATAGAGCTTTGTCTATGACAGATTTCCCAATTACACATGGTATGGAGAAACTACCAGGATCTTTTAGCTTTGGAGGCATATTATAGTGAATTATGGCGCTACATTCGGCAGTTAGCATAATGGTTTCGTTTTCAACGATTTTTTTCTTATTAGACAATATTTCTTTTAGGAATTTAGCATATGACGACATTTGGGTTATAGCTTCTGTAAACGGAATAGTAACGTTTAATTGTTTTAGAAGTTCTACAAATTTCTTGAATTGTCCCTCGTTCTT